ACAACTGTTTGAAGACATTAATTATTATAACTGCATATTTATTATTATTTGTCTGGTGCCATATAATATAATATATTTTTCATGAATCTCTACAACTGTTTTAAGACATTAATTATTATAACTGCATATTTATTATTATTTTGTCTGGTGCCATATAATATAATATATTTTTTTCATGAATCTCTACAACTGTTTGAAGACATTAATTCTTGTAACTGCACATTTATATTATTATTCTGTTTGGTGCCATATAATATAATATTTTTGAGCAAGGAAGAAGAACGAGTATACTAGAAAGTTAATGTGACCCTTTTATTTAAATGGAGAAACATACACGTAAGTACGTACGGATTTAATTATTCATTATTTTTATGTATCACTTTATACACTCAGTTCCCAATAAATAATGGTGGTGGTTGCGCTGGCAGTTCATAAAAATTGATATAAGTACTGTTAATTGTTCCTTGATATTATAAAAATTGGGTAAACAAACGCAAACCCAGTCTAGCATCAAAAATTTGGTATATAAATACACAAACTGAGCAGATGAATACAAGGTTCCAGAATAACTCGAAACAAAACATTGCACTAAGTTGCTGTCGGCCGCTTCCTTCTCGCGATTGGTGATTTGAAATTACGGACTGCACACTGACAAACGTGCTGCGACAGGACTCCATAACTGGAGGGAGGAGAACTTGTGCTTTTGCTTGTAATAAAGTTTTCTCTATCATATAACCATAACCGTTTTTTTTTAATTTAAGTAATTATTTTCTCTCTCTTAATATTTGAAATGTTTGTTTCCTTCTAATTCTGTGATCTGTAATGAAAATCATTATATCATTGATTTTTTTCATTTTAAAAATGGATTGATATAAGATGTTTGTTAAAGCGAAATCTAATCTGCGGAAACATCGATTAGAAAATTAGTTCCCTATCGTCTAGTTTCCAGTTTCACATAGACATCAAAATAACACATTATTATAGAACTAAACACTTGATGGTGATCCAGTAATGAGATGAGGTTCATAACACAGACATCAAAATAACACATTATTATAGTACTAAACACTTGATGGTGATCCAGTAATGAGATCAGGTTCACAATGCAGACATCAAAATAACACATAAATATAGTATAAAAACTTGATGGTGATCTAGTAA